AAATTGACAAATATTATTTTAATCTTTCAAATTTTTTATGCAGATGTCTTTGGACTATATTCTTTCTTCAAATTAATGGAATTCTGCTACTATAACCCAATATCTAAATTATCAGTACCTTCAAGATTTTGTAAACTTCATCAATACAGATCAACAGTCAAATTTAATATGTAGTAACTTCCATACATTTATATATAGTATTATAAATAGAGTTGAAAACGAACAACAATTCAGTAGTAAATTAGTTTATGAATTCGTACTGCAACTTGTCAACTGTGGCAAGAACAATGAAGTTTGGATAAAATTAGATGACCATTTGGCCCGTTTCAGTATGCAGGAATTTTGTCTGATAACAGGATTACTTTGCTACGAAGTATTTATGAACCTCGACTTTAACAATGATGGACTTAGAAATCAGTACTTCAATGGTACCAAAAAAATTAAAATGGCAATGCTCTCTAAAGCATTCCACCAATGTGCAAATGAAGAAGATCAGTTTAAACTAGGCTTGGTAATGTTCGTGGAATGTGTCTTAAAACCTACTGTAAGATATATTGATTACAAAACTTTAGGTATGGTTGAGAACATTCATACATTCCTTGCATATCCATGGGGTCGTAAAGCATATATTGTTCTACTCAACTCATTACAAGCATCTCATTTGGAAAGAGTACAAAGAATGCAACAAAATGAGCAAATCGAATCTAAATATGCATTACATGGATATCCACTTGTGTTTCAGGTGTTTTTCTATTACTCTCTAATTTTTACTAATCTATATTTCATTTTATCTATTTGTATAAATCTTATACATCTAATACAAGTTCTTAATTATATCAGTGCTGGATATACGAAGCATTCCCCCAAATTTTAAAAATAAAAGATACCAAATACCAAGAATGCACAGATGGGCGCCGAATAAAATATTGATAGAGAATACAGTTAGACAATTCCTGTCTACTCAAGAGGCATTTCAGTTATTTTATCACATTACTTATTATATATATATATAAATTGAACCATTTTTTTCCTGACAAAAATTTAAAACTCATTCTAATATTTTATTATAAATTACAGATTCAAGTAATCGCAGTATTACAACCTACAGAACAAGACTTACAAACAATATAGTAAACAACTCTCTCATTGCCACAAGACAACCACCATAGCATACTCGACAGCATTAGTAACCGAGTGTTTGACAATGTACCACAACAAATCCCACATACTGATACCATACCAACTACTCATGATACTTCAGTTCCAACTACCTCAAACTTTACTCCTATTAGCTCCAACTACATAGCTAGAGAAGAAATTTAGCAAATGATAGGCAACATATTGTATTAGATGTATATGGTATTTGCGGGAATTTGAAAACATCCATCATGTCAGATGTATCTGGTTTGTACAACGACCTGAAAAAAACCATGATTGAACAGTCAAGTAGACAAGAACACCAGTATGAATCAATTCTTCAACACCAAGAAGAATTATTCGAAAGACATCAAAAGTGGCAACAAGACCACTATGAAGACATGCAGTCTAGAATGCATCTTGGAGATAATTCAACTTTCGAAACTCTTCTTGACAAAAAACCAATTCTTCCAACAACAACAATAGCAAGAAAACCACTACCAAGGGATACATTCTAGCATGCAGGATTATGTAGATAATAGTGTGAGTCTCTACGATTTCACGTTGACGAACAACACAACAGTATACTCAACAAATTATCTAATTGGGAATCAAATATGGAAGCCATTATACGTTCTCTTCATCAAGATGCTTCTGTCCATGTGAGTCATGTTGTACAGTATACATCAACATCTCAAGCAATTGAAGACATTACGCAGCAGACAAAAGAACAAAAAAATGAAGGGAAAAAGGTACAATCTTCAATACCATCAACAAATTATCCTTTGGAAGATTATTCTATGGACATATACTTAATACTTAGAAACTAGATAGCAAAATATCCACCAAGGTAACCAGTCTAATTCTACTTTATTCTTTTACACATTCGTGACTTCATTTCATTCATCTCGAATTGAATAATATTTTGTTATGTAGCGCATATTAGGATGATGGATCTAGAAACATGTACAAAAGAGATATAATAAAAGATATGATGGCCATAACCCAACCTATAACCACTACGGTTAGTAAAATTCATTTACCATAATAAATTTAATTCCATATGAAATATATGTCATTTACATCTATTTATTCTATTGGAATCTTGATTTGGAGTTCAATCTAAAGATTCAAGTCTCTTTATACGGTTAAATAAAGACCTTTCTATTTTGGCATTCTTGGTCCTATATGGAAGATCACCTCTTCTCCTGTATCCCTTTGCCCTCATCGAATTGAATGTCTAACCTTCCTCGACCTATATAAACGTGAAGTTCGACAATCCTTTTGAGGGACGAGAGTTGGCTGACTAACAAGGATCGTGGCTTACAATCTTGACTTTGTTTGAGTAGAATTCTTCTCACTTGAATTCCCTTATAGTCTCCGGACTTTCTCATGCATGCTTTTCCTTTAGAAGTTATTTTTCTCTCTAATTCCCTCTAACTATCAATTTGATAATCGAAGTTGTTGCGGCGACGCATAAACGATAGTCCTACAAATGTTTCAAAAGAATATGCAATCCTAGATTTCAACTATGAATACGAGTGCTCGTCATATTATAGCACAAGTAGAGATTTTGGATACGCATACCATAAAAGATGCAGCGAATTTACCAATCTTACAAGAATACATAAATGGCAATCTGCCAATAAATGGTCGTCCATGGATAAAATGCAAGTGCCTATTAATTCCATGTTCATATTCAGGAAACACATGGTATCTCTTTTGTGTGAACATTCCCGAATGGAAAGTTTACATTTACGATTGTAGCCAGAACGTTCATATGCCAGAGCAAATTAAGGCACATTCAAATGCAGTGATCGATTTAACTACGAGCTTATTAATAACTCTGAAGTTCACAACCTACAAACATTACCTAAAGAAAAATACAGAGTAATGGGGTTAGAGATCATACCATATCAACCTTCCATAAGTAATGGGTAAATATTTAAATTATTCACTATGTACTATAACATTTCACAGGGATAAATTGTATTAACATGTAAGTTGATACTAATCAAATTTAATCTTAAACTATTTTTTCCATAGGCCGAACTGTAGAGCTTTTTTACTCAAATACATAGAATGATTTGTTCTAGGTTACTCAATAGAATCAGTTTCTACAACCAGAATGAATTTGTACAGATGAAAGATTGTCATAGATATTTGCTTCAACGAATACTTCTTGCATCCTCATTGATTCTTATACATTGGATAATCATACTCGTACAACAAATTTCTTCACATTGAATATATAAATCACAACACAACTGAAGGGAATCCTCCACTTACGAACACAAAGGTATTTACAAATCAATTATCCTTCCTACTTATGCACATATGAAATGTTCACCTTCTCAATCATATTTACAATTATGAAATTTTATCATGCGTGTTTTGATCAAGGGACAGAAGATCATGGGTGTGATAGAGGAAATTAAAGTACTATTATGGAACGATGTTCGTTTGAAAGAAATCAACTCTCTTCTTGAGCATAAAAGATTTTCCCCCAAATGTGTAGGTATTTTATTGCGTTTTTTGATTCTCTCTTCTGAGTTTATATTTCTTTCATTTTTGTAGGAGTATTCTTCCCCTGGGTTATTCACTCAAAGGGAATATCAGTTAAATACTTTATTTATTTATTTAATCTTGATTCAGAATAAATGAAACTGAATTTCTATTCTGTGATATTTGAACGTTACACTGGGAAATCTTTGTTTAATGTGATCGGGATTTTGTAGACTGTTCAGCTTTATTTTAGAGGAAATGGTAATGTGTTCCAACAAGCTAAGACTCAAACCGTCTCTTACTTCTTAACAATTTCCCTTATTTTTTTCTTTTTTTTTTCTATTTGATTTATGATGAGAAAAATGTCATTTGTGTTTTGCCCTCTTCTTTTTTACCTAAATGTTTTTGTGGCTTATTGAAAGGTGAATATGAGGTGCTTGATTAATATTTATTTAAACTTTAACATAATTCTGATGGTTCTTATATCAAGAAATTTCATTTCCCTCTCTGTTGAAAGGAAGTTCCTTTGTGTGTTTTTCTGTTAGAATATGAAACTTTCGAATTGGTGCATTCTCTTATGATATGTGCTGAATGTTTATTCCCTGGAAAAGTTTCTTTGTTTGCATATGGATTCATTGTTTAAAACCAATTTGAGAAAAAAGAATTTTTGTGGTTAAACGAACAATGTGTTCTTGCTTAGAACTAATCGGTAATCCTTTTAATGGTAGATATCTGGTATTAAAAGAGGGATGACACCATTGGTAGATTTTTTTCTCATGCAAAATTTGTAAGATTATTTTGCTCGAAGTGACAATGCAAACAAGGTATTTTCGTATGTAAATGTCAGTTTCTGCTACGAATAATACATAATTTGTCAATAACTCACTCAAGCACTCATCGTCTTTGAATTTTTGAGGTAGGTTCTTCCTATATAGGTCAGAATGGGACAGAAACCTCAAATCCTGGTGCAACGACTAAAATTGATATTTTGTGCTAATTCAATCTTGAAGCAATTAAATAGCCTTCATTTATTATTTATCTATCTAATCAATGAGCTTATGTTTTCTGCGCAAATGCTGCCTGTAAATATAACCAACTGCTCTTATATAATACAACATGCACAAAAGTTTTCACGAACAATTCTGAAATGTAAACTTTCCCATCTGCATCCATTTTGCTAAAATAACCTCCTCAAACTTCTCATTTTTGTAATTTCCCTGTCAACTGGTAATCACATTATTGTTGTTTGGTTTTATCTTTTCAACTGATCATTCTTTGTCACATGCAAGCTTAATCGTTGGAACTTACATTTACCATGTTCCACTCCAAGAATAATTTTTGAAACAATCACGAGAGCGATGAGCTGCAGCATGAAAACAAGGTAATAACTTATGACTTCACAGAAAAATTATGGTACATTGACTTGATTACATGTTTGGTGGTTGAAATCAATGAAATAAAAGTCAGTGTTAGTTTAACTATAATCTTAATTTCTATCTAATTGTATGGATACCAAATTTACTTTACTAATAATTTTGTCATTTCTGTACTCTATTTAGTATCTTGCAAATGAAAGGAAATTTAAAATATGTAGCCACAAGCCAGTATGTTATCTTTTCCAATTACCAAAATTTTCAAACCATAAAATATTAAGGTTGATTTCTTGACAAGTAATGATTACCATTAGATTTCTAAACTACATCTTCATTGTTCAAATGCTTGCGAATGATCTGATTCAGATCTGCATGCTAATAATGTGATTAAAATCTGCAAACAGATTAACGATCTTAAATATGATTTGGGGACAACTTTTAGTTGCAATATTGCAGTCACACCTGCTTGAAGAGATATCTGAATGCTTGAAACTGAAATGTCTAAAGTGAACGAAATTGTTGGAGGAGACTTTGAGAAGAGATATGCCTATAAACTTAAACAAATTCGCTAGGTAAGAGAAATCACATCTTTGTTTTTTTGTACTTTTTTTTTTGATTACTTGCAAATACAAAATTGTTATAACTATGTTTCTCACAATTCATAATCCAAATGAATTCATTACCATTGGATTACATTTGTAAATTGTTAGTTCTTCTTATTTATGACATCTCCCCTAATTGTTCTTCACGCTGTCATTGAGTTGGATTTCTTCACCCAGATTGCATACTCATTTTAATGTAATGTTCCAACTTCTTTTGCTTAATTGAAATGGCTTATTCTTTAATCTGTAATGTTAAAAAATTTTAGCATCTTCATTATACATATTCAATCATTTCTATACTTTACTAATTAAACGAATTAAACTTGTTCTTTAATTGGGATTTTGAAATCTTTTATTGTATACAGTTCATACAATAATCTGTCAAAGGATTATTGCGAAGACAAACTTGATGAAGATCATAAACTAAGTGCAGAATTCAAGGACACGCTTGCCGTGTGGATTTACCTCTATGTTGAAGAGCTTGACGCAAAGATGAAGTAATATGACATTTCAGCTCCAAATACTAGGAACCCTCTCACTAACCGCTACCTTTTCAATGTCATGTTCCAAACATCAATATGTCCATCTTGTTTAATCCCTAATTGAGACTGTGCATTTACACTTAAGATTATACAAATTATACTCATTGTACTAATGTAATCATTTTCTGATATCAATCTTTTTGTAAGTTGATTTTTGATGACTGTTTAACTATAGGTACATAACTCAACCCATTTGGAACGCTAACGATACCAGCAATATAACCAAACCCGTACATCGTACGGCCAAAAACTAGTATTCATTATAAGATAGAGCATCTTCTTCTAGAAGGTTCAGCTTTCCTGTTTTTTTTCCTTACAATTAGGTGCTTATCTTTTCAAATACTCACTTTCTATGTCTGTAATAGTTGTGAATATAAACCAATGATTGCCATTTTACATTGTTGTTCTTGTTTGATTATTTTTTAGGCTCTGCATTACTTGTGTAGTAATTAATTCCTTAATTGGATGTTCTTTAAGCATTGTGATTTACAACGAATTTCACTTACCAAAGTGTTGAACTAATTTTATGAAATTGATAACTAGATTTACGTGTTCGATATCTACCATCGCCATAAGATAAAGCGTGTGATAAGGACTGAAATCGAGCCAATTAATCCAAGTATGAAGCATGGATACAAATATGGGACACCCAAGCGGTGCAACTCAAACATATTTTAAGCTATACATTTATATAATATCTTCGTTTTTCTTTTTAATTATTCAATAAAATTAGTAACTTTTTGTAGCTTTGATTTTGAATATTGAGGTATGTAGTTTTATTTGATTCTTGTTTAGGTTATTTTATTTTATCCAAGTCATATAATTTATCCATACAACATTTTCATTTTCATCTTATTCTTATTTCTTCTTCAATAGAGTAACTATAAGAGGACAGCCTGATGAAGATGCAGTTCTCACTCAGTCAAAAACCTATGCCCTTAAATATGTGGGGACATCCAACTCTGTATTTCTTATACCTCCTTCAGATAAAGCTGTGAAAGAATGTAATGAGAAAGATGATATGAGCATACCGATTGCATCGGTTATCAAAGTTGCACTAGGCAACATGGAACTTGTTGAGGTTTGATGGATTATTGAAGACAAAGAGGAGGGAAAGTTGTTTCATTCAATCACACAAAAATGGTAGTACATGGTTCCATATAAGTAGCCATACATTGATACAAAATAAAGTGATTTTCTACCAACTATTCTACCTACTACCACTACACTTTGCTTGTCTAATACAACAACTTGTAATCAAGCCAAACTAGTCTAACTAACCATCATAACATAAGCTAGACAATTGAACAAAAACGTGTAACAATACAACTTAGCAACAACAAAAGTGTCACACTTAATTCATCACTCCTTTTTGACACTTTTGTTGGAAATACCAAGACATTTTCTTAATGTTTCAAACCTTTCCAGCAAACAAGACTTGAACCAGCATAGAAAGAATAGCCTGAAGTGCTCTTCATGTTATCAACAGTTTTAGCCCAATCACTATCAGTAAAGCCAGTTAGAACCAGAGTTTTTGACTTCTTGAAACTGATTCCAAACTCCTTTGTTCCTATGATATATCTCAGCACTCTTTTTGCAGCTTGGAAATGAATTTTACTTGGCTCTTGCCTGAATCTAGATAGCAGGTTAACAGCAAACATTAGGTCTAGTCTTGTGGTTGTTAGGTAGAGCAAGCATCCAACCAAGCTCCTATAAACATTTTCATCATTTTTCTTTGCACCATCATCTTTCATCAGCTTTGAATTTTGAACTAAATGAGTGTTAACTGATTTGCAATTCTCCATACTGAACTTCTTTAACACTTCTTTAGCATAACTCCTTTGGCGAACAAAAATACCATCATCTGTTTGATCAATCTATTTGATCAACCTCCATTCCAAGAAAATATTTCATTTTACCTAAGTCTGTCATCTCAAAAACCTTCTTCAATTCATCATTTACCCCTTAAATTAAGGTTGCATTACTCCCTGTAATTAAGAGATCATCTACATAGAGTGAAATGATGAGCAGATCCTCCTCCACTGGTTTGATATACAATGTTTGCTCATTAACAATCTTATTGTTTCAAGTCTGGTAACATGAGCAAATGTATCAGTGAAATCAATCCCAAATTGCTAAGCATAGCCTTTAACAACTAGCATAGCTTTGAAATTATTGATTGACCCGTTAGCATTCAACTTTGTCCTGAATACCTACTTAACTCCCATGACATTCTTGTTTCTTGATCTGTCAACAATCAGCCAAGTCTCATTCTTTTCAATTGCCATAAGCTCATCCTTCATAGCTTCTATCCACTCCTTAGAATGTGCAGCTTCATTATAGTTTGCAGGCTCTTGAATTGTAGAATTACAAGTAGCATAAATATCTTGAAGTGATCTTGTTCTCAACAGTTCATTTTCTGAATCTGATTCACCTTCAGGTTCAGCATCATCTTCCATTTCTTCTTCGTCATTACCAGCATCTTTTGTTTGAGAGATCAGTTTGGGAGTCTCGATTTTACTCACTGTATTTGACTCCCAGTTCCATGAAGAACTTTCATCAACCTTGACATCTCTGTTGGGAACAACCTTGTTGGTTTGAGGATTATGAACTCTATATCGTTTTGCATTTCCACAATAACCAACTTCAGCCTTTTGACTCAGTTTATCCCTTTTTGGATCAGAAATGTGAGTGTAACATATGCTTCTAAATACTTTCAGATGTGCCACATCAGATTTCACTCCATACCATGCTTCATAGGGTATTTTCTTGTCCAAGGCTTTTGATGGTAGTCTATTAAGAAGGTATATGGCTATGTTCACAGCTTCAGCCTAAAAATCCTTTGGCATCTTCTTCTCCAACATTGGACATTTGGCCATCTCCATAACTGTTCTATTCTTCCTTTCACAGACTCCATTTTGTTGAGGTGAATAGGGAATAGTTAGCTGATGCTTGATTCCAACTTCATCACAGAATCTGTAAAACTGGCTGCAGTTATATTAAGTGCCATTGTCTGTCCTTATGGCTTTGATCTTGCAGTCACTTTCATTCTCTACAAAGCTTTTAAACTTCTGAAAGACTGCTGCAACTTTAGACTTCATTTTCAGAAAATAAACCCAATACATTCTTGTTAGATCATCTATAAAGAGAACAAAGTATCTGCTGCCATTTAAAGTTGATGTTCTCATTGGACCACACACATCAAAATAGACTAATTCTAGTTTACTTGAAGCTCTTCTTGTCAGATTTTTAGGAAATGGCAACCTGGTTTGCTTTCCCAATTGACAAACATCACACATACAAGCATCATCATTTACTTTTGGCATATTCTCTACAAGTTCTAGTTCATTCAGGTGCCTGAGTGAAGTGTAATTTGCATGTCCAAAACGTTTATGCCACATAGAAGATTCAATCAAGGTACTGGCAAAGGCGTGTGAGTTAACATTCTTCCATTACAAAGGAAAACTCATATGCCTCATTTCTACTGTCATCAACTCCAGGATATTTTGGTCCAAAATTGTGCAACTACTATCCTTAAATATTAAGGTATAGCTCTTCTCAATTAATTGGCCAACACTTATCAGATTTTGGTCAATATTTGGAACATACAAAACATCATAAATGAATTTAGTATAATAGTACCTGATGGTGTCTGAACTGAAACCTTATCAATGCCTTTCACTTCAACATACTCCCCATTTCCAACTTTTACTTTTGATCTGTAGCTATCATTCATCTCCACAAAGATATCTGAGTTTGAAGTCATGTAATGAGTGCAACCACTGTCAAGTAACCAAGTTTCAACCTTGCTGGTAGCTGTGAAGTTTAAGGGAGAGAAGAGATGCTCTTCTAAGTGATCTTCTGCTACTTTAGCTTGCTACACCTCCTTCTTCTCTTTTTGGTTTTTGCAAACCTTTTCCACATGTCCAAATTGTTTACAAGACCTATTGGACTCCAGGTCTAAACCAACACCATTTAGGTGAATGGGGTTTCCTTTTGCAATGAGGACATGGAGGATACTTAGTATCCTTTCCAGAACCATTAACAGATTCATTCTTCTCATTTTGTGGCTTATTTCCATCAAAACTTGTTTGAGTTCTCTACTTTTCTTTAGCAAATAGAGCACTCTCAACTTGCTCTTCTTGCCTGAACAATCTCATTTGTTCAATGGCATGAAAGGTATTCACAAGTTCAGCCAAAGAGATGCTAGCCAAGCCCCTTGAATCTTCAAGTGAAGAAATCTTGGATTCAAACTTCTTTGGCAGATTGATTAACACCTTCTCCACTACTCTCTTATCTGGCAAATCATCACTTAACAACCTGATTTGATTGACCACCTTTATTAACCTATCAGAGAAATCCTTCCATAATCTACAATTGCAAAATGTTAATTTTATTTTCTAGCTCAATTGATTAAAAAAACATAGTATAAATTATTTGAATTGAGAATTGAGATCATAAGTCCCAAATGGCAAATGGGCTAAAATCCAAATCACAACTCAATCAACCTAAACCCTAAAATGTTTACAGCTCTTGAAAATGTTGACTGGCGTGTTCCTAAGCATGTAGTTTAATTTCCCCAAGAATGGAATTTATTCTGCCTAAGTAAACATTTCTTTTGCTTGTTGCCTTTTTCTACTAAAGTAAGGTTCTTGTTAAACTTAAGGATAATCTTATATTCCAAACAGAAAGACTACAATCACCAATAAAAATATAAAGGGCAGTTGGCAAAATAATGCTACGCCTACGCTCCAATAAAACTATTAAGAGAATTTTGAAGCAAGACAATGTACAGTATGAGGTTTAACTAGAAAATTTACCAGAAAATGTACAGTATGCAGCTGCGCCGAATACGGGTGATATTCGATCGAGAGAGTGGACAAGGTGAAAATTTTGGAATTTAGGGATTGATTTGGGAGAATGAGATTTGGGTTGGGCTATATATTATATAATTAAGGATTGGACACAGACAAATGGCCCAATCCAGTTACAAAAAAAAAAAAAATTAAATTAAATGGGCCGCATTAGCCCAATTTCAAAAAAATAAAAAAAAAGATGGCCCGGTCAAATTGGCCCAATTTCAAACGAAAAAAAAGCTAGCATGAGGATTAAGGAAGAAGACGAACCAGGCACAACCATAGGCAGATGCAGCGCAGCTATCGGTGACTCGACGGTTCGGCGAATCCCAGCACGCATGGCCGTGCCCTGACCAAGTGCTAGGTCCGTCTCTGCATATTGCAAGCCAAGAAAGGGAATCAACAATATACCATCGTCATTACATGCCTAATACATTTGGATATGCTAAATGATATAATTTGTCAAATATTTTTCTTTCTAAACCGTGTGATGAGTCTCATGAAGTGGAGTTCGAACTCCGAAGACTCCCAATTATATTCTTTATGCCTCGAGTAAGAAAATAAACACAAAGAAAATTTTAAAATTTCACGTGTAAACCAGCCATTTCACCTCATTAAATTTTTTTTTTTTTTTTAATTACTGGTTCAATTCTAAACCCTAGCTTTCTACAACCTTTTTTTTTTTAGGTCAATGGAACAATTGCATAACATTTGTATTTACTATTTACCGTTTAGTCAACCGTTACCCCATAACCTCATTAGTCATCCAATTTATAGATTGGTTCATTTTGGTCACTAATTATTTTTCCATTTAAAGTTTGCATTTGAACTTTCAGTTTTATATTAAATTAAGCACTTCATCTCACTGCAACGACATAAATGTTGTCGTGGCTAAGAAAAATAATAGTTCGTTATGAAAAATCCATTAGCACATGATGCAGACTAAGATTCTTAAGAATCGGCCGTGACTTCTTGCTCTTGGTTGGGTTCGGATTTTATTTATTTACACCCTATTTGAGCCACATTATTCTACTAAGAATGTGTTTTAAATAGTGTTTGAATGGAAAATATGTGGTTAAAAAATAAGAAAATGTTTTGAATTTGCGTGTAATATTATCTTATTAAAAAATGTGTAGTTGAAAATAAGAGAGAAAAAAAATGAATTTTAGAAAAATGTGTATCAAATATGGTGTTAATTAACATACATTTATGTTTATATTAGAATATTATTTTCACCGACCATTGAGCAAAAGGACATACTGTTGAACAAAATTGTGCTTCCAAAATGCATTTTTATAGAGAGCACGTCTCACAATTTTACCGAGTTGGATAATAGTGTGATCGTTTTCTTATCACAACTTAGTCGAAAAGGCCTAAATCATAATGAAAACAAAAAGTTTAATGACTATCTCAAGCAATTTTCTTGCTTCACGCGCACCGCACGTGATAACCGTCACTGTACACATATTTTAAAAATATCAAGACATGCGTTTCTCCTCTCATTATTGTTGAATCGACGTAAAACTCAGAAACCCCCAATTCTATCAATAACTCAACAGGTACTTTTTCATTTACCTATAGATTTTTTCTCCATAAGGATTAATTTGCTTGCTCATGTTCATAATTATTGCTTGAAATATTTATAAATTTTGGTTTGACTCGTCTTTTTCTTGCTTGAACATTCAGATCTGTTGCAGTACTTGAATTTTAATTGCGTTTATTACAGATATTACGGGATTTGGTATTTTTTTTTTCATTATCATTCTTTTGACTTTCTAATTTTTCAAATGTGGGATGATTCAATATACAGGAGTTCTTGAGCACTGATTCAAGGACGTGGGTCTGAGGTAAATTTATCTTTTAATTCATTTTCTGATTTTTTATTTCAAGTTTTTATTGGGTTTTGACTATGACCCAGGAGATGAATATTGGTGAAATTGTAAAATTTGTTGACAATAGCTTATAAATGAGTTTCTTTTACTATTGTGGAAGGTGCTGAGTTTCGATTGCTGCCGTAGTTCTCCACAAATACTGGCCCGTGAAAATTATTTTTCTATTGAATGGCCCCATTCCTTGTTTCTTAGGCATGGAGGGGGTCCTTTGGGAGAAAAAGGGATATTGCTTTGGACTTGCGATTTTGTGTTAATTTACTTACTTTCTATGTATAGGTAGAATTAGGTATGGGATTAAATGGATACTTTTAGACGGTTGATTTGAGTATATCTTGCCAATGAACTGTGATTGGTTTGTACAAGTTATCTATATCCTGATCTGGAATCAGGATAGGTAAGAACTCCAATATGCTCTAGGAAATTTCATCCTTTTGTATGATGTGTGATGTAAAAACAGATGATTCTCTCCTTATTTTTACTTGTCAAAAAATTTTTGTTATAATGATTGCAGCAATTGAATTAGTTGGTGAACTTTTTATTAGTGGGATATCAGTAAATGAAATTTTTTGAGATGCACAGTGATAACTGTTCTTGTTAGAAGCTTGTCTGATATGCAATATTGAATAGTAGCATGAGTATTGGCGTCCCTCTTTAATGCTAACAGTGACCTGTTTGTAACTACAAGGGATTTACGAAATCTTGATAGAGTTTCCTTGTAAAACGAATTAAGAATTTTTTATTGCTTTCCGGTTGATTTAGTCCATTTTATATGGATAATTTTTCAAAAACTTTATATGAAATGGCCAGTATGGGTTCTATGGCTAGTGACAAGAATGATGAAGATTGAAGTTCAAAGATGTCAAAACATAGTGTGAGGTTTTCACCTGTTAGCTATCTGACGGTTTATGTAAAATTCAAACATTGATTATCTGTTAGCGATCTGATGGTTTTCATCTCACAATAATATCCTTTTGCCTGTCCTAATTTTCAACTTTGTTCTCTAAATTCTTATAGAGCGTGTGTTGTTGCTGTAGATGAAATTTATCAATTTTCTTGCACTTAAAGACGACTGCTGGAATAAGCTTAATTTGGGATGATATTAGTATGATATTAACGTGCAGGAAAATAATTATTTGGGATGTAAGCTTTAATTTTTGTTTGTGAAAAATTCAAATTATAGACCTATTCTTAGAAAAAATTTGTAATTTATTCAATTTTAGTCGATTGTGTTGTATGAATGACAAACATTATTTCATTAAATTTTTTTTATTGAAATGGAAAAAGTATTATTTATATTTAAGTCAATTAATGGATTGGGAAGTCTCAAATAAATTTAGTGCTCAAAAAAAAAAGGTTAATAATTGGTTGATCACTTCCCTGCTTTGTTGAAAGTTCAAAAGCCTGGGTGTTGTAAAATTTTGAGTGAACTTGTTGGATTTATTAATCAATTTTGATTTTTGGTTGTGGAGAGCTTCTTTGGCAGAGTTTAATAATAATTTAATATTGACAAACATATTTTTTATCTACACCTTCCGTAGGATCCACAACTAACTATCCACTTATTATCCACACGTTCCATAAGATCTACATCTTATAAGCACTTAAAATCACTACCAAACAATCACAGATAAAGAAGTATTTTTTACTTTTATGATAGTCAGCTGTAGTAATGCAGTGCTATATAAGCAAATCTGGGCTTGATGGTGGTATATAAGTTGTTGAATCCCTTGGTTGTAGCACTAAGTAACTTAGTTGTTTACATTTTGTAATTTGAATTGTTTTCATACTTCTGGAGAATTTACTATTTCGCATGAACTTCAACTCCTAAATTTTAAGTGATCATGACTGGTAAACAGTTGAAATCACCGTCATAAATGAACAATTGCATTATTTGATAACACAACCATGTTAACTTAAAGATGAAACTGCAATGTAGGAAATCAGAAATATTACTACTGAATGGAAATTATGTAATATTCCAATGCTAGCATTTAAAAAAAAAAATCGACATAAAATAGGGAATTAAATGAAAACTAGGTTATATATGTTTAGAGTAAGTTGTTTTTAGTACAACTCAATATCCTCCGGATTTTATCAAATTCTTGGATGAAAAAGATGAATAAGATAAAGATATTGAAAAATGATATACACTTCAGACGATACTCATTGAGCAAGAGATGAGTTTATTTCATAGTTTTAGAGAAAGATCCCAACCAATATTTGTTATAAAGTTTCTTCCACTGAAAAGTGAAGAATAGAGAGATAGAATTCCAGCTTTAGATAATTTTTTGTTGTCAAGGTTTGGAGATATTATAAAGAGTAAGAATGAAGAGAGTATGGCTAGAATTGAAGAAGATTGATGAGATTAAGGGAGAAAATGAATAACGAGCCTCGGCCATAACAAAGTAGAGGCAAAAAGGAGTGTGAGGAAAGAAGCTAAAAGTTGTAGTATGTTTAGAATAAGTAGCATTAGTCACTTTGGTGTAGACCAAAAACAAGTCCCTAAATAAGATTTGAGTTGAAGTATTATCGAGGAGTCTTAAGACACTAAGCCTTGAATTGTGAGCTATGCCAGCATCCTATACGACCAATGTATTGAAAGCAGGTTCTGATCTACCAGATTGATTTTAAAACTGGGAACTGGTCCTTTTATACACTAAAAACTGTTTGGTTAGAAACAGGTATCCAACCCGGCCAACCACCTTTTGAACTGGGATCCTGTCAAGGTTTTACCAGTTCAGACATTTAGATTTTATTTCTTATTGTATATTTTTATGTCCACACTTATTTTCTAACTAAGCAATAAAACTTAAAAACCCCACCAACTGTTATCGAAACCCATCTTGGTGAAGAAACAATCTTGGCATGGCATTTAGTTGAAGATGTTTTAATTTTCAAAGTGAAATTATGTGGGTGTGGAGAAGTGTGGGATTTTCATTGGGGAGAGAAATTTCTGATGGGGGAAAACTGTGTGAATAGTAGTGATGAATAATGAGAAAAATAATTAAGTTAGTGAATAGAATCACAGATATCCAAGAGTCATACCTTGGTAATACTATTGTTTTTAGAGTTGACGATTTGATATTTAACAATTATAATTGGTATGAGTATGAATACCATTGGCTTAATAAAACTTCATTATTAAATTATTGTTATAATTTAACTTTACATTGATGAAAATTAAATTCTTTATAAATCTATGTATTTATATACAAATTAAAGAATTGCTATTAGGTCAGTTTTTGGAACTGATATTTGCACAACTTCTTTGATTCTAAAATGTTATCATACCAGGTTAAATTTTCGTACTCAAGTTCTCTTGGTCCTCTTTGTCCTCTTATAACCTAACTTTTTTATGATCTCTTCTTCATGTTTCTCATCAAAATTTGCGTAAGAGTCTATAAGAAATTGAGCTGCAGCAAGATCAATTTACTCTGACTATATGTGACTTAGTTTAACCTTTAGCTCAAATCCAGATCTTATCCTCTTAACTGTGATGTGAGAACTGTTCAATGGGACTTGGTCTTGTTGGGATCTTAAATTTTGTTTACATAGTGTTCCCACTTTTGCCTTCAAGTTATTTGCCTTGTCTGTTACTAAGGAATGTTACAAAATGTGTGCATTGGCCTACTTGCGCTAGTTGACATTTAGCTCCTGGTTGACAATCATTTTTTTTCAAACTCTTATTTCCGCGTACTCATTTTCAACCACACATTCACACAATAAAATATTTTTCATGTAAACCTAAATTTTTTTCCCACTTTTTATCCACACATTCTCCTGAAAATCACTATTCGAAACTCCATTTTAATGGTAGTCAAACAGGGACTTAATATCCACATCATCTCTTGGTACAAAATAAACTCTCCATCTATCATTTGCTTACCAGTTAAATTAGCCTTCTTTACATGGTCTCTAGCAGGAGTTGAGAAACTAATTGCTACAGATTTGAATGAAAATGAGTTGTGGGGTTGGATGAAAACTGATCTGTTCAATATTAATGTAATTAGAAGTCTGTCTTAGTTGCTTGTATATTTGGTTAACGTTGGAAAATTTAATTAGAGGTTGTAAAAGAGTTATGTTGATCAATCAAAATGGTAGTTCTACCAATTACCATTATGACGCCTCGTCTTAAATACAATCAGGGTAAAAAAATATTAGTAATTATTGGGTTGATATTGATATTAGAGAAGCTTGCATTAGAACTGTGAACTCAGGTTGCCCATCATGCTGATAAAATTGTGAACTCAGGTTTAGCTTTTAGCAGATTTTCCAAAATAAGATCCCCAATTCCTTCTAGAAAAAGGGAAAAAAACATGTGTTTTGTCTTCCAATAATTGTATCCAGTTTTCCTGATTGGTGACTGCTTCAAAGAACATCATCTCTCCCACTTAAGTAATATTACTTTAGAATTAATTTGCGGATGAACTTTTTTCATTTATATTACCAAATTTTACATTAATGAACTTGCAAAACAGCCAAATCCATAAACAATACTGTAAGAAAGAATTAAGGTTAAAAAATAAAGAACGATAAACAAAAAATTCCATTATTTCTAGTGTCAATTCCATTCGACATAGAACCAATTCGAACTAAAAAATTAATCACAAATAATTATAACCCTAGTGCCATATTATCTAGTCAATTTACTAAATTTACTATGGTCACCTGTGACCTATGATACACGGACACGTGTGTCCTACACGATACATGTTGGATACGCCTACACACAATTTTAAAAAAAATTACAGACATGACATGTCATCGGCGCGGTGATTAAATTCTTAAAAATTCTTCGTTTGTATAGTATAAATTTAGTTTTATACTTATTATTAATTTTTCTTGTAGAAATCTTTTAAACATGAGTATATATTTGTTACTTGCTAATAATTTTGAATTAACAATATATAATATTTCTAATATAAAAAGAAAAATGATTACGGTGGAGTGTCCAAAGTGTTAGTATCCGTGCTACAGAGCCTGTGATGCTGCCCTTTTAGGCTTTAGTTTTTTATTTGTGTGTTTGTATTTAAATTGCAAAAAATACACCAATGGTGTGGCAATTTGATGGCCAAATTGAACATCCTAAGAACATATTGTATTGTGTTCTTACATTGTAGCGTTGTCTTTCTCAAGAAATCATAACTTGTAAAAAATTAAGCTCAATAAACTTAAAACCCTACATTGGGTTGAGTTGGATCGGGTCAGCCTAGCATGGACACTCACCTAAATTGAAAGAGGCACGTTTTCTTTTGGGTAATATATATTGGTTTGTTTGAGCTGCAATTGATCATTGTGTTATATTCATAATAAGATAGAGCGTCTTCTTCTAGAAGGTTCAGCTTTCCTGTTTTTTTCCTTACTTTCATGTACATAAATGTTACTTTAATCTTTTCTTTCTTATTCGAGAAATTGAATGAAGGCAGTATTTTAAGCTAAACAGGAAAAGTGGTGTGAACTTTTTTGGGAAATCAGGTGCTTGTCTTTTCAAATACTCACTTTCTAAGTCTGTAGTAGTAGTGAATATAAACCAATGATTGCCATTTTACATTGTTCTTGTTTGATTATTTTCTAGGCTCTGCATTACTTGTGTAGTAATTAATTCCTTAATTGGATGTTTTTTAAGCATTGTGATTTACATATAAGTTATGACCATTGACAACGAATTTCATTTACCAAAGTGTTGAACTAATTTTATGAAATTGATAACTAGATTTACGTGTTTGATATCTACCATCACCATAAGAAAAAGCCTGTGATAAGGACTGACACCGAGCCAATTAGTCCAAGTACAAAGCATGGATACAAATATGGGACACACAAGCAGTGCAACTCAAACATATTTTTAGCTATACATTTATATAATATCTTCATTTTTCTTTTTAATTATTCAATAAAATTAGTACTTTTTGTAGCTTTGATTGATTTTGAATATCGAGGTGATATTGTGAATTTTTAGAGTGACTGTTTGCTGAATTACTAGAGCCAACAGAATAAAAATATTCATGTATTTAAAGACAATAGATGTAAAGAAAATTTAACATAAAGTTCGTACAATTTTTCACTCAATATTTGATCTCTTTGCCTAATTCTGTTTGTCATTATCCTTGAAGTGTCAGGGCCATCTTCCTCGTTTGTCGAAAATTAAACAACATTTACAAAATTAAGGTATTTTAGTAAGGAACTAATGTGTCTAGTGCCTGTGCACTTTTCTGATGTGGCAAAATCCAGGGTAATGGTGTTGGATAAATGCTATTGAGACAACATCAGGTGTTTGAATCTGTGTAGATGGGAGCAAAGAGTTGCATTTATTGGTTTTAGTTATTTGCTGTGAAGATTTTTCACCGAGGGAAGATTTTTATCTATTATTACTTGTTTCAAGGATTTACTCCCTTCTCTTTTTCCTTTTGGAGGTGGGGGATGGGATGTGAAATAGAACAAAAGGAGAAACTTTGTGCACTTTAATCTTTTTCCTTCCCGTGCTCATTGATAAAGAGGAGGAAGTGAAATATGGATATGGAACATCGAAGACTGGGAAGTACTGGAGGTGCGGAAGCAGTACTAGGCCTTCAACCCAACTCAACAATGTCTATTGCTTATCACTCCCTTTTTGATTCCCACAATGACATAACACTCCTCGAAATTGATGAAAAACTCGTCCCTGATATCCTTCAGCAAAGGTATGTAGTTTTATTTTATTCTTGTTTACGTTATTTTATTTGATCCAAGTCCTATATTTTATCCATACATCATTTTCATCTTATTCTTATTTCTTCAATAGAGTGACTATAAGAGGACAGCCCGATGAAGATGCAGTTCTTTGTACTCAGTCAAAAACCTATGCCCTTAAATTTGTGGGGACATCCAACTCTGTATTTCTTATACCTCCTTCAGATAAAGCTGTGGAAGAATGTAATGAGAAAGATGATATGACCATACCGGTTGCATCGGTTATCAAAGTTGCACCAGGCAGTATGGAACTTGTTGAGGTTGCACCTAAATTAGATAAACTTAAATTTCTCCTCTCCCAAAATCCTTACAGTTTTGTTGAGGCTTCGGACATGGACATCTCTCACGAGAGAGAGAAAATGAATACAGGCTTATACAGATGGGATGATCTTGCTGACAAGGTACAGGCTAGCAATGAGGAACTAAGGTCCGGACTACAAGCCCTTTTGGCAGTTGAAATTGATGGATACTGGCGAGTTTTGGATGACAAATACATGGATATGATTCTGAACATGCTTCTGCATGATGTAATATTGAATGATTGGTCCTTTAATGCACTTAATGAAGATGAAGTTCTGCGTGCATTAGAAACAGATGGGTTTCCTTGCAATATTGCAATGCATTGCCTGAAAGTCTATGGTAATAAGGTGGAAGAGCATATTGGTGGAAGTTGTATGTGGAGGTTGGAGGAGAGGCGCGTTTGTGTGCACTTTGCGAGAGAAATCTTGAAAAACGGTAAGATGAAAATGGAAACTTTTATGGCAGAATGGATACGAAAGGTTCCTGATGGTATGCATGCAAGTTTTGACATGTTGGAAGGGGAAGTTCTAACGGAAAAGCTAGGGATAGAGACTCTAGTTTACTATTTCAGCGTATCTTCACTCCCATCAACCCCTGCTGAGCGTTTTAACATACTATTCCAGGAGAGGCAAAAGTGGGAATGGAAGGATCTACAGCCATATGTCAGGTATGGTTCTGTTATTTTGAACGAGTTCTCTATTACTCGCATAATCTGTCAAGTATTTGTACGTACTTTATATGAGAAGCTTCTCCTAATTGTGGATAATGTCGATTTATAGGGATCTAAGAGTGCCGGGACTTTCTTCAGAAGCTATACTCCTCAAATATACTCGGAGAACTCAGCCAACTGTGGATGCTGAACCTGTTTTCAGTGCAAGATAGTCTTTTTACGTATTACGTCTATTTTCTAAGGTAATGTTTGTTCATGTGGAAATCAGAAGCTTTTGTGTTAAATTATATTAATATACAAAGAAGTTAAGAACTGTTGGCTTATATTTTCATTTTATTTGGTCGACCGAAGTGTTTATAGTAAAACGCACTTATTACAAGCCAAGAAAGGAATCAACAATATACCATCGTTACATGCCTAATACATTTGGATATGCCAAGTGATATAATTTGTCAAATATTTTTCTTTCTAAACCGTGTGATGAGTCTCGTGAAGTGGAGTTCGAACCCCGAAGACTCCAAATTATGTTCTTTATGCCTTGAGTAAGAAAATAAACACAAAGAAAAGCATCGAGAATAAAGAACTCGTAAACATTTAATAAATTGTGTATCATTTAAAACGAAAATGGACATTTTTTCATTACTATCTGCTAAAACAATAAATAAAATAAGCTAATAGATGGAAAATGAGTTAACAAGAAGTTGACAGCAAGAGAGCTCCCTCCGAGGCAGCTGTGGATGGATTCTTACTTGTAGCTATGCATTGCAACAGTCAGGTTCAAGTGTAAGAATGTTCAATCCACGACTCTTCACAAATTTTCAACCCCGTCCCAGATTGCGCAGCCCTTGTTTGGTGGTCTTAAAATTTTAAAAAATGTATTTTTTGCTGAATGTGCAATTAAAAAGTATGAAGTTCAAGGTTTACGTGCCGTGTATTTGATTGTATAAATGTGGTTGATAAGCATACACAATCAAAGACTGTATTTTCAAATTCTAATTCTATCCACATGTTGAGCGAGCGAGAGTATTTTCAATAAACACTTTCTACAATTTTGAGGCAATTATTAAAGAATTTTCAATATTCTTATGACATCTTTCAAATCTCTTAGGGGTCGTTCTCTTTGGCCGTTTTGGGTCATTTTTTGTTTTCCAAAATAGTGAAAACGAGTTCTCTTTCCTATTTTCGAAAACGCGTTTTTGGAAACAAAAAAAAAATTTGTACACAAAACGTAAAAAACATCATTTAGACGTTTTCAAGCCAAACCTACGAAAAAATCAAAAACACGGGAAACGATCTCTTCCATTTCCAACCCTCTTCTACCAAAACAATGGAGCAGCCACTGCCAACCTTCTAAACTCCGGCCATCCTCCTCCACCACCACCGGATTTGCATACCATTGTGAAGCCGTCAATCCCTTCTTCAATAACCACACAAACCACTACCCAAACATATACCAAAATCAATCAAAAATCATCCTTAAAAATTGAACTTGCAAAAACTGCTTCTGCCGAAATCACCACCACCGGTCGATTGCCCACCACGTGCCCATCTCCACTGGCGCCATCAATTTTCGACTGCCAGTGGCATTCCCGAAAAATCAATTTTCACAGTTTCCTTGCTCGCTGCTCCATTCCCTACAAAACCAACTAAAAGAATAAACTACCTCCGCCAGAAAATCCTCAAACCCTAAAGGAACCCTTTATTTCCAAGCTGCCCTCTACTGAACTTTTAATTTCGATTGATTTTCCCATTCGGCAAGAAGTCAAAGCGCATGAAGAAACAGAAATTCAAGAACTTGATAAGTTTGAGAATCAAGGATCTATAGGACTTGAAGAAATTGAAATTGAAGAACTTGATAAGTTTGAAAATCAAAGATTCAAAGAGGCTAGAGTTTCGAGCAGTTATGGGGTGATTGTCGATGGCAGTATTGGTAGATTTCATAATAATACAGTGTTGAAATATGGGTTGTGGTTAATTGGGGCTTTTATGTTTCATAAAAATGGTAATGTTACCTCATTAATTTTTGAATTAGACGAGAGAATTTTATTAATGTTACCTCATTAATTATTTTCTTCAATAGATTAACATTAAACTATTAAAATTTATTGAATAATTAGATTTATTGAATAAAATATTATAAAAAAGATTCTTAAAATTTCAAAGTAGACGCGTATTCAAGTTTTCTATTTTGGGACAGTTTTTTCAGAATAACAAAGAGAACGAGTTTTCAACAATTTCAAAACAGATACTCAAAGCAGAAAACACAAAATGAATTCAAAACTTAAAACACAAAACTGAAACACGAAGAGAACAGTCGCTTAGTGTTTTGAAAATATACATATGAACAATTTAATACGAAACCAAATACTTGCAAATGCCTAATTATACTTATAAATTAAAATTCCTAAAAAAATAATTACTGAGTAAATGAATAATAACTTGAAGTCTTGAACGACTACTGCATGCAATCAAAAGCTTTAGAAATCGAAGTGGTCTTCCAAATTTCGCAAGGGGGAATTTATTAAGATGCAATGATTTTTGTCAAATTCAAAGTAAAAAAAAAACACTTAATAAAACAAAGCTAAAACTGATGAATTCACACGAAGAATCGGCTGGTTTACACTAAGAACCGGTTGGTTCACGTGTAAACCAGCCATTGTTATTGTTCGAACGACCTAAAACTCAGAAACCCCCAATTCTATCAATAACTCAACAGGTACTTTTTCATTTCCCTGTAGACATATTTTTATGTTTTTCTCAATAAGGATTAATTTGCATGCTCATGTCCATTATTATCGCTTGAAATATTTATAAATTTTGGTTTGACTTGTCTTTTTCTTGCTTGAACATTAAGATCTGTTGCAGTACTTGAATTTTAATTGCGTTTATTACAGATATTACGGGATTTGTTTTTTTTTTTTTTTTTTTTTCATTATCATTCTTTTGACTTTCTAATTTTCAAGTTTCGGTTAATGATTTTTTAGAAATTTTGTTCAATAAATTGATTGTTATTGGGTTTTAGGAAATGGGTTGTTATTCTTTATCTGCTTGCAAGCAATTAGAAATTCAGAGCTGGGATTCGGGGCTGAGTTACTATTTCTTTTTAGTGGAAGTCAAAGTCTTATGTGCACTAATCGTTGATATTTGAATTTTGAATAAAGTTAATAATTGGTTGATCACATCCTTGCTTTGTTGAAAGTTCCAAAACCTGGGTGTTGTAAAATTTTGAGGGAACTTGTTGAATTTATTAATCAATTTTGATTTTTGGTTGTGGGGAGCTTCTTTGGCAGAGTTTAATAATAATTTAAGATTGAGAAACATATTTTTTATTTACACCTTCCGCTGGATCCAAACTAACTACCCACTTATTATCCACACATTCCATATCCACATCTTATAATCGCTTAAAATCACTACCAAACAATCACAGATAAAGAAGTATTTTTTACCTTTATGATAGTCATCTCTAGTAATGCAGTGCTATATAAGCAAATCTGGGCTTGATGGTGGTATATACTCAAGAAGTTGTTGAATCCCTTGGTTGGAGCACTAAGTAACTTAGTTGTTTAACTTTTGTAATTTGAATTGTTTTCATACTTCTGGAGAATTTACTATTTCGCATGAACTTCAACTCCTAAATTTTAAGTGATCTTGACTGGTAAACAGTTGAAATCACCATCATAAATGAACAATTGCTTTATTTGATAACACAACCATGTTAACTTAAAGATGAAACTGCAATGTAGGAAATCAGAAATATTACTGAATGTAAATTATGTAATATTCCAATGCTAGCATTTAAAAAAAAAAATCGACATAAAATAGGGAATTAAATGAAAACTTGGTTATATATGTTTAGAGTAAGTTGGTTTTAGTACAACTCAATAACCTCTAAACTTTATCAAATTCTTGGATGAAAAAGACGAATAAGATAAAGATATTGAAAAATAATGTACACCTCAGACGATACTCATTGAGCAAGAGATGAGTTTATTTGATAGTTTTAGAGAAAGATCCCAAACAATATTTGTTTTCAAGTTTCTTACACTGAAAAGTGAAGAATAGAGAATGATAGAATTCCAGCTTTAGATAATTCTTTGTTGTCAAGGTTTGAAGATATTATAAAGAATAAGAATGAAGATAGTATGGCTAGAATTGAAGAAGATTGATGAGATTAAGGGGGGAAAAGGAATAACAAGCCTCGGCCATAACAAAGTAGAGGCAAAAAAGGAGTGTGAGGAGAGAAGCTAAAAGTTGTAGTATGACTAGAATAAGTAGCATTAGTCACTTTGGTTTAGACCAAAAACAAGTCCCTAAATAAGATTTGAGTTGAAGTATTATCGAGTAGCCTGAAGACACTAAGCCTTGAATTGTGAACTTTTCATGCCAGCATCCTATACGGCCAATGTACTGAAAGCAGGTTCTGATCTACCAGTTTGATTTTAAAACTGGGAACTAGTCCTTTTATACACTAAAAACTGTTTGTTTAGAAACAGGTATCCAACCCTGTCAACCGCTGTTGAACTGGGGGATCTCTTCAAGGTTTTACCAGTTCAGACATTTAGATTTTATTTCTTATTGTATATTTTTATGTCTGCACTTACAGTAAAGCTCAAAAAATTCTTGGTAACCATCTCCAGTTATCAAAACCCATCTTGGTGAAGAAGCAATCTTGGCATGGCATTTAGTTGAAGATGTTTTAATTTTCAAAGTGAAATTATGTGGCTATGGAGAAGTGTGGGATTTTCATTGGGGGAAAGCAATGTGAATAGTAGTGCTGAATAATGAGAAAAATGATTAAGTTAGTGAATAGAAACACAGATATCCAAGAGTCATACCTTGGTAATACTATTGGTTTAGTGAATAGAAACACAGATATCCAAGAGTCATACCTTGGTAATACTATTGGTTTTAGCGTTGACGATTTGATATTTAACAATTATAATTGGTATGAATATCATTGGCTTAATAAAACTTCATTATTAAATTATTGATAAAATTTAACTTTACATTGATGAAAATTAAATTCTTTATAAATTTATGTATTTATATACAAATTAAAGAATTGCTATGAGGTCGGTTTTTGGAACGATATTTGCACAACTTCTTTGATTCTAAAATGTTATCATACCAGGTTAAATTTTCGTACTAAAGTTCTCTTGGTCCTCTTTGTCCTCTTATAACCTAACTTTTTTATGATCTCTTCTTCATG